GCTAAAAATATCCAGAGAAAGATCCCATTCAAATATTTAAAATGAACCAGAGTGAACACAAGAAATTGAAACATTATCTTTGAAAGCAAGATCCAATCAATTTGTAACATGCCCTTTTTAATTTAGAGTAATATTTGTAAGCATTTATGTTACTAAATATTAAAAGAACTGATATGCAATGTGATGATAACCATTAGAGAAATCAGCAGGGGCTTGTGATCATGAAACCTTTGCTCTCAATATCCTATTGTACACTTTTTAGAAAGAATTATCCATCACTAAATAAACTCAGACTTCATGTTAGGGATCATTACACATTCAGTGCCCTGAATGGATGTCATAAGCACCAGCAAGCTAAATGTTTAAAAAATTACAGACACCACCATTATATATATGTAGTTGTTTGTGTACTTGTATATGAGTGGATGTATATCTATCAGTTAATATTTGAGTGCATATTATATGCCAGTCTACATCCACGTGTGATTCCCTTTTCACATATGAAGATATAAAAATCATAAGAAACTGATTAATTCAGATTCTGTAAGTCAATGAGGAAATGCAAATCAATCAATAGAAAATAGAAATGTTACTTGAGATAAGGAATTAAAAGAAATATCTTTAATGTTAATCATTTTAAATTTAAAAATGAAAAGATATAACTGATTTTCTTGCATTTATTTTAAGGACATTTATGAAGTAAAACCAGGAGATAATTGAATTGTCTCTACAAATCTAAACATAATTCTGATTTAGAGAGAGAAAGACAGAAACACAAAAGCAATTTGTAAACTACTTTCATAATGCATAATACTTTAGCCAAGTTTTGCAATAAAGTAAGCTTGAAATATATTGGTCCAGGGTCTGAAGTATAAAGCTTTTTAAAGAGAAACTTGTCTGTTTATTCAGATGTAAGACATTATAGGATACAAATCCTATATTCCAACAAATGACTAAAAAAACACAAAGTAGATTTGCACACCCGCAAAATCGGATCAAAACGACCAAAAAAAGATTTCACAATAAGGTGTGAAATTAATTTTCTGACCAATGAAAGGAGGCGATATGCTAAACCAAAAAAAAGATAACGAGCCAGTGTGAAAAAAAAGTCAACAATAAATACAGAGTTTTCAAGTCAGTCAGTCAGTCAGAGAAGGGCGCAAAAGATCACAGAAGATTGACAGTAAATTTCATCACTGACTCAAACTTACACAAAGAGCCGAAAAGTGGAGTAGGAAGGAACAACAACAACAACAAATTTACAACTGACTTCAAAACAATTCATAAGTACATTTTCCTTTTATCTTTATTCCTCATTCACACTCTCTTTTTCAACTTTAATTGCTCGCCCCTTTTTCATTTTACATCTATACAAAAACAAAAGAAACAGACATTATTCTGCTACTCTGTTAATAGACAGCGAACACAGACATTTTTATCAAAAACGAACTAAAATAGTAATCTTTTTTACCCTATTCACAAGATAATAAAAATACAATGTTCTATTTTTTATAAACGTTCCTTATCGTGTTGTTTCTTCTTGAAATTTGCGTTGTATTTTGTGGGCAGGGTATCCCGTATTAAATTCTCCTTTAATCCGGGTACGCTGAACCCCACACATAACTTTAAATCTACTTATCAGTTATGTGATACTTTTTAGAGAGAAAATCATTAAAAAAAGATTACAAAAACTGAATCACAGTTACATACACACACACATCCATGCACACTCACGCATGTGACATAAATAGAAACCATTATCTTACTTAGGTTTGGCATTTAATAAATAAACACATTTACAATAATTCAGTTTACAATTATAATGCAAGAGTTACTTCAAACACTTTGAAACTTTGCCGATTCACTTGCGACAAATCATTTCAAAAAATTGAACTCTTGGTCTCTACATGGCCACAGTAAAGAGCATTGACGTTTAATTTGTAAATACATGTATCTAGCTGTATAAATGTTACTTTCATACCGGGTCTAAGGAGAATTTTTACCAGAGCCTAAGGGGTCGGAAAAACCCACATTAAGCCAGCCTTGTCCTACATCCCTCTCTATGGGGAGCTCGGATAAATACCGTGTATATTAAAGCTCAAAGGAGTCAGGTGATCTGCTGTCTGGATCTGCTTGTGGACCTGTCTTTCTCCGGGCAGAAAGGAAACCACACAAGACTATGCCGAAGGGCAGAGTAAACTATATTATGTGTATATACACTTTTCATCCGAGGACAATTGCTTTTGTTCCTGCAATTACAAGAAGTGTTAGGACTGGTATCACTTGTAGAAAACACTTTTTAATTGTACTTCTTCTCCACATTAATAACTGGTTAATTTATAAGTATTTACATAAAAGTTATTGTTATGATACATATTCACTCTGACAGATATAGTCTCGTCAAGGGAAGGTAACTCCCCCATAGGTATCGTGATACTGCCTTTTATACAGTACGAAACTTACATATCGCTACACCTCCCTGAACCTAAGAGGTTTTATACCTTTAGTTGAACTTTTATTCTACGAACAACCATGGGAGACATAATCCGTCTCTCAGAGTGAATCTCTTGATTTCTTTTTATAAAAGATCTAGCTCTTAACTAAGTCTCGTCATTGGAATCCTCATGATACCCCCGGTCACTATCATACCGAGATTACTCATTACTACTGGATGCAAACTTTCTTTCCTCCCTCTCCAGTTCTTCAATTTTATATCTCTGTTCTTCCTGATCAATCTCAATATTGGATTAATTCATCCTTTCTTTCATCGTCTGTGCTTCTGATTCATCTTCCTCCTCCTTTTCCATAACTTCATGCTTTCATGTGGTTCTAAATTGGTCTTCGTGATCCAGTATTCCCTGTCCATTCTTTGTTAACACAGCTCTGTTAAATCCCTTTTACACCATAAAATTTGCCGTTTCATGACTTGAATCCTTGTTCTTTCTGTATCATTCGTTGCAAATGACAAGGTAATAGGAGCTCTTATTTGTCTTCTCATCAATGTGGATGGGCTTTGTCTTCTACCTGCATGCAGAATAGCTCTATAACTTAGGAGTAGTCTGGATAAATAACTCTCTATATTACAATCCACTGGAGAGAATGCTTTTAATCCCATTTTTACCGTTTGAACCATTCTCTCCGCAATTCCATTTCAATGCGAGTGATAAGGTGGTGTTTTATATAGAATGTAGCCAATACGTTTTAATCGTGCACATAAACTTTCTTCACAAAACTCAGGTGCGTTGTCGGAGATGAAGGTTTTTGGAACTCCATTTCTCGAAAACACTATCCTCAAAACCCGCTTCACAGTAGTGGCTTTTCTATCCGCGACTTTAATAACTTCAGCGAACCTGAATACGAGACAACTAATATCAGAAATACTTTTAATGTAGGCATGAACCAGATGTACTCGTGCCCACAGTTCCATTTCCTTCGGCCGAGACTGAATTTTAGTTTGCTTAAATAAATTTCTTTATTTCTGCAAACTTTGGGCAATTTTTAACATACTCTTTCACGTTTCTCGAATACTCTGGCTACCATGTTTGCAACCTTAACTTCATTTACGTAGCCAATATACCTCTATGTATATAATCGTGCACAACTTTAATTACTTCTTTTTTCAGAAACTGTGGAGGTACTATGGTATCTCCACTGCATATAATTCCTTTTTTATTGGTAATTTGTATCTTGACTCTTTATAAGGCCTCTCAGCCATAGAGCAATTACTCCATGTATTCATTTTTATTCTATCCATAATTCTATTCAACACTGTATCCTGCCTAACCTAAGCCGATTTCATGGTAATATATCCGTTTCTAAAATCCTATCCTCATAATTTTCACCTGCTTCAACATCTTTACTCTCAAAATTTAACCAAGATAATGCATCCATACACAGAATAGTATTTCCTTTAATATATACAATGTCAAAGTCGAACTCCATAAGCTTAATCGCCCATTTTAATATCCTGGAAGATGTGATCTTGTCAACTCTCTTTTGAGCTTGAATATAAATTCCAAAGGCTTATGATCTGATTCTTCCTGCCTCCTTCACAATATTCGAATAATTCACCTCCATCAATGTTAGTTTTCTAGATAAGTGGTCCTCATGAGACAATATTCTTACGCTGGGTCTAAGATTTTAACAACTGGTTTGTTTATGAGTGCCCTTTTTTTGATATCTGGAAAGTGATCCTGTTTTTGTCCATTGAAACTCATAATTCTTCTTCCTTATTTTGTTAAATTGTTCTACAATCGAATTGTTCATTGTGGTGACTTCTTGAAACTTCAGTCTACATCTTTGAGATGAGGTATTTTGATTAATTGCATTATTTACATTATTCGGACTGTTATTGTTGGGGCGCACCCACCTTCTCATCAGAATGGACTGATCTCTCTACTACTAATAGGACAGTTCTATAGAGTTCTGGGGAGATCAGGTGACCATCACACTTCCGTCTCTCTACCGGAAGATACTGTTGGACTCTATACTCTTTCTGATTGTTACTGACTAACCTGCGTTCGTTTGACTACTAATCTCTCTGTTGTAAATACCTCTTCAGATATACCAGTATTTTTCCCTACGTATGTGTTTGTCCTTATTTCAATACACACACGCGGAAACATTCAACATCTCAACAGTGGCGACGAGGATTCGAACGGATAAAAAGAACTTACGTTGAAAAATAAATATCGCAACAGCGAAAGAAACGATTTCAACGCGGGAAAATTTAAAGAGTTTAAGCATTTTTTCACAGCAAAGGATTGAAAAGTTTATCGACAAAAGAAAAAAACTGTAAGTTAGACATTATCTTATTTATTCTATTGGAATCTATAATAACCAATTTTGTGTGCTAAAAAAAAAAATTTTTTGTCGTGCCAGAGAATTTGATTAATTTATTGCCCCCCCCTCAGAGAAAAAAAAAAAACACATAATAATTTTCTTTTTTTTCTACACATACATAATCATGGAGCAATTTCAATCATCTATGCTGGAACTCATTAAGTATCAGATGCAAAGACAACAAGAGAGTGAAGAACGTTTTCGGAAAGAACAACTGAAATTTCAGAAAGAACAAAAAGAAAGTGAAGAACGTTTTCAGAAAGAACAACTGAAATTTCAGAAAGAACAAAAAGAAAGTGAAGAACGTTTTCAGAAAGAACAACTGAAATTTCAGAAAGAACAAAAAGAGAGTGAAGAGCGTTTTCGGAAAGAACAACTGAAATTTCAGAAAGAACAAAAAGAGAGTGAAGAACGTTTTCGGAAAGAACAACTGAAATTTCAGAAAGAACAAAAAGAAAGTGAAGAACGTTTTCAGAAAGAACAACTGAAATTTCAGAAAGAACAAAAAGAGAGTGAAGAGCGTTTTCGGAAAGAACAACTGAAATTTCAGAAAGAACAAAAAGAGAGTGAAGAACGTTTTCGGAAAGAACAACTGAAATTTCAGAAAGAACAAAAAGAGAGTGAAGAGCATTTTCAGAAAGAACAACTGAAATTTCAGAAAGAACAAAAAGAGAGTGAAGAACGTTTTCAGAAAGAACAACTGAAATTTCAGAAAGAACAGGAAAGGAAAGAACAACTGAAATTTCAGAAAGAAAAAAAAAAGTGAAGAAGTTTGAACAACTGAAATTTCAGAAAGAACAAAAAAGAGAGTGAAGAACGTTTTCAGAAAGAAAACTGAAACAACTGAAAGCGTTTTCAGAAAGAACAACTGAAATTTCAGAAAGAACAAAAGAGAGTGAAGAACGTTTTCGGAAAGAACAACTGAAATTTCAGAAAGAACAAAAAGAGAGTGAAGAACGTTTTCGGAAAGAACAACCAAAATTTCAGAAAGAACAAAAAGAGAGTGAAGAGCGTTTTCAGAAAGAAAGAACAAAAGAGAGTGAAATTTCAGAAAGAACAGAAATTTCAGAAAGAAGAAAAAAAGAGAGTGAAGAACGTTTTCAGAAAGAACAACTGAAATTTCAGAAAAAGAACAAAAAAAGTGAAGAGCGTTTTCAGAAAGAACAACTGAAATTTCAGAAAGAACAAAAGAGTGAAGAGCGTTTTCAGAAAGAACAACTGAAATTTCAGAAAGAACAAAAAGAGAGTGAAGAGCGTTTTCAGAAAGAACAACTGAAATTTCAGAAAGAACAAAAGAGAGTGAAGAGCGTTTTTCAGAAAGAACAACTGAAATTTCAGAAAGAACAAAAAGAGAGTGAAGAGCGTTTTCAGAAAGAACAACTGAAATTTCAGAAAGAACAAAAAAGAGAGTGAAGAGCGTTTTCAGAAAGAACAACTGAAATTTCAGAAAGAACAAAAGAGAGTGAAGAGCGTTTTCAGAAAGAACAACTGAAATTTCAGAAAGAACAAAAAAGTGAAGAGTTTTCAGAAAGAACAACTGAAATTTCAGAAAGAACAAAAGAGAGTGAAGAACGTTTTCAGAAAGAACAACTGAAATTTCAGAAAGAACAAAAAAGAGAGGAAGAGCGATTTCAGAAAGAACAACTGAAATTTCAGAAAGAACAAAAAAGAGAGTGAAGAACGTTTTCAGAAAGAACAACTGAAATTTCAGAAAGAACAAAAGAAAAGAAAAGAACAACTGAAATTTCAGAAAGAACAAAAAGAGAGTGAAGAGCGTTTTGGAAAGAACAACAGAAGAAAGAACAAAAAAACTGAAGAACGTTTTCAGAAAGAACAAAAAACAAAAAAGAGAGTGAAGAGCGTTTTCAGAAAGAACAACTGAAATTTCAGAAAGAACAAAAAAGAGTGAAGAACGTGAAAGAACAACTAAAATTTCAGAAAGAACAAAAAAAAGAAACGTTTTCGGAAAGAACAATTTCAGAAAGAACAAAAAGAAGTGAAGAACGTTTTCGGAAAGAAAACTGAAAAAAAGTGAAGAACGTTTTCGGAAAGAACAACTGAAATTTCAGAAAGAAAAAAAGTGAAGAACGTGAAAGAACAACTGAAATTTCAGAAAGAACAAAAAGAGAGAAAGAACAAAAGAACAACTGAAATTTCAGAAAGAACAAAAAGAGAGTGAAGAACGTTTTCAGAAAGAACAACTGAAATTTCAGAAAGAACAAAAAGTGAAGAGAAAGAACAACGTTTTCAGAAAGAACAAAAAAGTGAAGAAAAGAACAGAAAGAACAAAAGAGTGAAGAACGTTTTCAGAAAGAACAATTTCAGAAAGAACAAAAAGAGAAAGAACGGAAAGAAAAGAAATTTCAGAAAGAACAAAAAAGAGAGTGAAGAACGTTTTTCAGAAAGAACAACTTTTCAGAAAGAACAAAAAAGAGTGAAGAAGAACAACTGAAATTTCAGAAAGAACAAAAAAAAAAGAACGTTTTCGGAAAGAACAACTGAAATTTCAGAAAGAACAAAAGAGAGTGAAGCGTTTTCAGAAAGAACAACTGAAATTTCAGAAAGAACAAAAAGAGAGTGAAGAGCGTTTTCAGAAAGAACAACTGAAATTTCAGAAAGAACAAAAAGAGAGTGAAGAACGTTTTCAGAAAGAACAACTGAAATTTCAGAAAGAACAAAAAGAGAGTGAAGAGCGTTTTCAGAAAGAACAACTGAAATTTCAGAAAGAACAAAAAGAGAGTGAAGAACGTTGGAAAAGAAGAACAACTGAAATTTCAGAAAGAACAAAAAAGAGTGAAGAGCGTTTTCAGAAAGAACAACTGAAATTTCAGAAAGAACAAAAGAAGTGAAGAACGTTTTGAAAGAACAACTAAAAGAACAAAAGAACAAAAAAGAGAGTGAAGAACGTTTTCAGAAAGAACAACTGAAATTTCAGAAAGAACAAAAGAGAGTGAAGAGCGTTTTCAGAAAGAACAACTGAAATTTCAGAAAAGAACAAAAAAGAGAGTGAAGAGCGTTTTCAGAAAGAACAACTGAAATTTCAGAAAGAACAAAAAGAGAGTGAAGAGCGTTTTCAGAAAGAACAACTGAAATTTCAGAAAGAACAAAAAGAGAGTGAAGAACGTTTTCAGAAAGAACAACTGAAATTTCAGAAAGAACAAAAAGAGAGTGAAGAGCGTTTTCAGAAAGAACAACTGAAATTTCAGAAAGAACAAAAAAGAGTGAAGAACGTTTTCAGAAAGAACAACTGAAATTTCAGAAAGAACAAAAGAGAGTGAAGAACGTTTTCAGAAAGAACAACTGAAATTTCAGAAAGAACAAAAAAGAGAGTGAAGAGCGTTTTCAGAAAGAACAACTGAAATTTCAGAAAGAACAAAAAGAGAAGAACGTTTTCAGAAAGAACAACTGAAATTTCAGAAAGAACAGAAAGAACAACTGAAATTTCAGAAAGAACAAAAAGAGAGTGAAGAACGTTTTCGGAAAGAACAACTGAAATTTCAGAAAGAACAAAAAGAGAGTGAAGAACGTTTTCGGAAAGAACAACTGAAATTTCAGAAAGAACAAAAAGAGAGTGAAGAACGTTTTCGGAAAGAACAACTGAAATTTCAGAAAGAACAAAAAAGAGAGTGAAGAACGCGTTTTCAGAAAGAACAAAAAGAACTGAAGAACGTTTTCGGAAAGAACAACTGAAATTTCAGAAAGAACAAAAAAGAAGAACGTTTTCAGAAAGAACAACTGAAATTTCAGAAAGAACAAAAAGAGAGTGAAGAACGTTTTCAGAAAGAACAACTGAAATTTCAGAAAGAACAAAAAGAGAGTGAAGAACGTTTTCAGAAAGAACAACTGAAATTTCAGAAAGAACAAAAAGAGAGTGAAGAACGTTTTCAGAAAGAACAACTGAAATTTCAGAAAGAACAAAAGAGAGAAGTGAAAGAACGTTTCAGAAAGAACAAAAAAGAGTGAAGAACGTTTTCGGAAAGAACAACTGAAATTTCAGAAAGAACAAAAAAGAACAAACGTTTTCGGAAAGAACAACTGAAATTTCAGAAAGAACAAAAAAGAGTGAAGAACGTTTTCGGAAAGAACAACTGAAATTTCAGAAAGAACAAAAAAGAGAGTGAAGAAGAAAGAACAACTGAAATTTCAGAAAGAACAAAAAGAGAGTGAAGAGCGTTTTCAGAAAGAACGTTTTCAGAAAGAACAGAAAGAAGCGTTTTTCAGAAAGAACAACTGAAATTTCAGAAAGAACAAAAGAGTGAAAAAAAAGAACAACTGAAATTTCAGAAAGAACAAAAAGAGAGTGAAGAACGTTTTCAGAAAGAACAACTGAAATTTCAGAAAGAACAAAAAGAACGGAAAAGAACAACAAAAAAAGAACAAAAAAGAGAGTGAAGAACGTTTTCAGAAAGAACAAGAAATTTCAAAAGAACAAAAGAGAGTGAAGAGCGTTTTCAGAAAGAACAACTGAAATTTCAGAAAGAAACAAAAAGAGTGAAGAACGTTTTCGGAAAGAACAACTAAAATTTCAGAAAGAACAAAAGAAGTGAAAGTTTTCAGAAAGAACAACTGAAATTTCAGAAAGAACAAAAAGAGAGTGAAGAGCGTTTTCAGAAAGAACAACTGAAATTTCAGAAAGAACAAAAGAGAGTGAAGAGCGTTTTCAGAAAGAACAACTGAAATTTCAGAAAGAACAAAAGAGAGTGAAGAACGTTTTCAGAAAGAACAACTGAAATTTCAGAAAGAACAAAAAGAGAGTGAAGAGCGTTTTCGGAAAGAACAAACTGAAATTTCAGAAAGAAACAAAAAAGAGAGTGAAGAACGTTTTCAGAAAGAACAACTGAAATTTCAGAAAGAACAAAAAGAGAGTGAAGAACGTTTTCGGAAAGAAAGAAAATTTCAGAAAGAACAAAAAAGAGAGTGAAGAACGTTTTCAGAAAGAACAACTGAAAAGAAAGAACAAAAGAGAGTGAAGAACCTTTTCGAAAGAACGTTTTTCAAGAGAAAGAACAAAAAGAGAGTGAACGTTTTCAGAAAGAACAACTGAAATTTCAGAAAGAACAAAAAAGAGAGTGAAGAACGTTTTCAGAAAGAACAACTGAAATTTCAGAAAGAACAAAAAGAGAGTGAAGAGCGTTTTCAGAAAGAACAACTGAAATTTCAGAAAGAACAAAAAGAGAGTGAAGAGCGTTTTCAGAAAGAACAACTGAAATTTCAGAAAGAACAAAAAGAGAGTGAAGAAAGAAAGAACAACTGAAATTTCAGAAAGAACAAAAAAAGAACAACTGAAATTTCAGAAAGAACAACTGAAAAGTTTTTCAGAAAGAACAACTGAAATTTCAGAAAGAACAAAAAGAGAGTGAAGAGCGTTTTTCAGAAAGAACAACTGAAATTTCAGAAAGAACAAAAAGAGAGTGAAGAACGTTTTCAGAAAGAACAACTGAAATTTCAGAAAGAACAAAAGAGAGTGAAGAGCGTTTCAGAAAGAACAACTGAAATTTCAGAAAGAACAAAAAGAGAGTGAAGAGCGTTTTCAGAAAGAACAACTGAAATTTCAGAAAGAACAAAAAGAGAGTGAAGAACGTTTTCAGAAAGAACAACTGAAATTTCAGAAAGAACAAAAAGAGAGTGAAGAACGTTTTCGGAAAGAACAACTGAAATTTCAGAAAGAACAAAAAGAGAGTGAAGAGCGTTTTCAGAAAGAACAACTGAAATTTCAGAAAGAACAAAAACAACAGCGAAAGAAATGATTTCAACACAGGAAAATTTAAAGAGTTCAAGCATTTTTTCACAGCAAAGGATTGAAAAGTTTATCAACAAAAGAAAAAAAACTGTAAGTTAGATATTAACTTATTTATTCTATTGGAATCTATAATAACCAATTTTTTGTGCAAAAAAAAAAAATTATTTTTTGTCATGCCAGAGAATTTGATTAATTTATTGGCTCCCCCCTCAGAAAAAAAAAACACATAATTTCATTTTCTTTTTTCTCTACACATACACAATCATGGAGCAATTTCAATCATCTATGCTGGAACTCATTAAGTATCAGATGCAAAGACAACAAGAGAGTGAAGAACGTTTTCAGAAAGAACAACTGAAATTTCAGAAAGAACAAAAGGAAGAAAAGGAAAGGTTAATTGAAGAAAATGCAAAACGATTTCTGGAGCTACACGAAAAACAAAATAAAATACAAGAAGAAAATGAAAAGAAACAGTTAGCAATGACTGAACTTATACATAAAGCTATACTGTCTAAGCAGAAAGACTCGGATGAAAGTACTTTTTCTCAAGGCACAATATGGTCGACGATCGAAAGTTTTGCCTATAACCCAGAAGAAAAAACTTTCGAAAGATATTATCATAGATATCAGGACTTTTATGAAGTCGATTGCCAAACATGGCCAGATGAGAAAAAGATAAGATTGTTACTACGGAAACTGGGAATGGCAGAACATAATAAATTTACGGACTTTATATTACCCAAAAAGACAAGAGACTTAAAATTCGACGAAGCGATTGAATTACTAAAAGAACTCTTCAACCCCAGATTATTATTATTTCACAAAAGGTGGAAATGTCTTAATATTCAAAAAAGCGAGCAGGAAGACTACACGACTTTTGCGTTAATCGTAAATAAGACGTGTGACGATTTTCGCTTGTCCGAATTATCGGCGGACAATTTCAAGTGTCTAATATTCGTGCTAGGCTTAGTGTCTAAAAAAGATAGCGAAATGCGAAGACGCATTTTAGCAAAACTAGAAAATGACCAAAACATGACACTACAAAAGCTAGCCGAGTAATCAGCAATGCGTAAGCATTAAGCAAGATTCAGAGAAAATAGAAGAAACTGCTATCGCAAATGTGAAGAAAGTAAATAGGAAGACTCGTTTCCGTTCTCCATCGCCTGAACGGAAGTGGTATCCTACCACAAGAACGAACAGAGACTATAAAAAAAATCCCTCCGAGTGCATGTTACGGATGCGGCCAGTGGCACTGGTACAATGACTGTCCATATAAAAATAAAGCTTTCAGAAATTGCAAGAAAGTAGAACATAAGATGTCCAAGTGTAGAAAATTAAACAGAAGTCGAGTAAAAGTTACTAAGTCAGACGAAGATAAGGAGCTGAATATTCGAAAATACCTACATGTAAAAATGTACAACAAGAAGGTTAAAATGCAACTGGATTCAGGATCTGACATTTCAATTATTAACACACTAACATGGAAAAATCTAGGAAAGCCAACTCTGCTAAAGTCCAACAAAATAGCCAGGACGGTAACTGGAAAAAAAGATCAAATTTGAAGTTCTTTTTGTAAAGTTTTCGCTGAAGGACTTGGACGTTGCACGGAAGCATCACCAAAAATACAGCTGAAGAAAAATATTCAACCAATTTTTAAAAAAAAGCGTAGAATCCCTTTTGCCGCATTAGAAAAAATTGACCAAGAACTCGAAAGTCTAACGAGAATTGGTGTGATCTCGAAAACGGAATACAGTGACTGGGCAGCTCTGGCTGTCTACGTAAAGAAGTCGGGCGAAATTCGCGTCTGCGCCGATTTTTCAACCGGGTTGAACGACGCAATAGAAGAGTATCACTATCCACTACCAAGTCCCGAAGAAGTGTTCGCAAAGTTAAATGGTGGAAAAATCTTTTCGAAAATAGAACTTAGCGAGGCATACTTGCAAGTACCCATGGATAACGAAAGCGCAAAGTTGTTATGCATTAACATGCATAAAGGCTTGTTCAGATACGAACGTTTACCGTTCGGGGTGAAGACAGCACACACAATATTCCAGCAAATAATGGATACTATGTTATCCGGTTTAGACTACACGATAGCATATCTCGACGATATACTCGTGAAAAGTGAATCGGTGGATGAACACAAACACCATTTTCGAAAGGATAAGAAGCTATGGGTTTAGAGTGAAAGAAAACAAATGCGATTTTCTCCTAGAGGAGATCAAGTATCTGGGACCTATAGTAAATAAAGAAGGGAAAAAGCCAAATAAAAATCGAGCATCAGCAATAAAAGATGTGCCTGAGCCAAAGAATATTAAATCCCTACAAATTTTTTTAGGCTTGGTGTCATATTACCAAGATTTTATCCCAGACCTCCACATTCTACGAGCTCCCCTTAACGATCTACTAAAAAAAGAAAAACTTTGGATATGGACAAAAGAATGCGAGCAAGCATTTAAGGATATAAAAGAAAAGTTGACATCAGATTTATTTCTGGTACATTTTGATCCAAAATTAGATATCATCGTGGCGAGCGATGCCAGTACACACGGCGTAGGTGCGTGCATATTGCACAAGTGGAAGGATGGTAAAGTTCGACCGATCGCTCATGCAAGCAGATCGCTACTACCTGCTGAGCGAAACTATTCACAAATCGAAAAACAGGCATTGGCGATTATCTTCGCTGTAACAAAGTTCCATAGATACATACATGGATGGTATTTTACGCTGCAGACAGACCACAAGCCTCTGGTAACGATATTCGGTTCGAAGAAGGGTCTGCCAACATACACCGCAAATAGATTGCTTAGGTGGGGAACAATTTTGCTAAATTATAACTTTAAAATACAATATTTGTCCACCCACAAAATTGGTCACGCAGACGGTCTATCAAGACTCATTCCGAAAGCAACAGAACCATTAGAGGATACGGTAATCGCATCCCTCAGAGCAGAGGACGAGGTTGAATAAAATTTGGCGAACGCAATTCGAGAATTACAAGTATCGCTTAGGACATCAAAAAAGAGGCAGAAAAGGACAAATATATTATCGAAATAAAAAGACAAGCTAGCTAAAAAAAAGACGAAAAATTCAAGAGACATTCTCTCTGTGTGATAATGTGCTAATATATAGTGAAATCCCTAGTACACTCCAAAAAAGAATATTGAAAGATTTTCATGCTGGTCACCCGGGCATAAATAGAATGAAGAGCCTCATGAGAGCATACGTCTACTGGCCAGGTATGGACAACGACATCGCGTCTATGGTCGGCAGATGTAAAGGCTGCATTTTGGCATCAAAATCACCACAAATTCTATAGAAGCCATGGCCAAAAACCGACAGGCCATGGTCAAGGATTCAATATTGATTTTGCGGGTCCAATTGACGAGTGGCATTATTTGGTCGTAGTTGACAGCTATAGTAAATGGCCCGAAGTTTTCCAAATGAAGAGGCCAACATCACAAAATACGATAAATAAATTGCATGAATTATTTGCAAGGTTCGGAGTGGTAGATACTGTGGTTAGTGACAACGGTACTCAATTCACGAGCAAAGAATTCACAGAATTCTGCCAGAATTTTCAAGTGGATCACGAGAGGATTCCTCCGTATCACCCACGCAGCAACGGACTAGCCGAAAGGTTTGTCGATAGGCTAAAAAGGGCTCTTAGAAAAGCAACGGGTACCCTGAATAGAAAGGCGTTACAGCTATTCCTGCAAGTATACCGCATTACTCCGAATAAATCTGCCCAATCAAGCCTATCACCTGCGGAGCTAATGTTTGCAAGGAAGATCAGATCTGCATTTGATAAATTGATACCTAAAAATAAGATACACACACCAGTCGCAATGGTTACTAAGCGAAAATTCCACACAAATGAAAAAGTTTCTTTCAAGAATTATAAAAATAATACGACATCGTGGGAACCAGGAGTCATACAAAAGCGGATTGGGAATATGGTGTACATTGTAAAAGGGAAAAAATTTACACATAAAAGGCACATCAACCAGCTAAAGAAAAGGAGTACTGAAGAATCGGAAGAAACTCCGCAAGTAGAAGACGAATTATACGAATTATATGATACTTTTGAGTTACAAGAACCACAGACAGAGCAAAAACAGCGCAGATCTGGTAGAAAGCGAAAAGCAACAATTTATGATGGACCCGAAAAGGAAAAAATATTGAAAAAAAATTTTTTTTCTTCACATTGAAAAAAACAATTTTGGGGGGAGGGTGTTGGGGCGCACCCACCTTCTCATCAGAATGGACTGATCTCTCTACTACTAATAGGACAGTTCTATAGAGTTCTGGGGAGATCAGGTGACCATCACACTTCCGTCTCTCTACCGGAAGATACTGTTGGACTCTATACTCTTTCTGATTGTTACTGACTAACCTGCGTTCGTATGACTACTAATCTCTCTGTTGTAAATACCTCTTCAGATATACCAGTATTTTTCCCTACGTATGTGTTTGTCCTTAATTCAATACACGCATGCGGAAACACTCAACATCTCAACAGTTATCCTCACCTTCATTGACATATTCACAACATTTTGGCCGTTGTACGCTCCGGTAAATGGAATTTCGAACCGAACCCTTTATTTTGTCCACCGGTGTAGGTTGTTCTAGTTCCACGGTCCATCCCTCTTCCAGATGTCTCACTTATTTCCCTTTATATCAACTCTCCAAGTTTTTGGTTCACCTTCACTTGTATGAATTTTGGGGATTTATAAACCCAATGTCTTAGCAACCATTTTTACCAATGCTCATATTGCAATATTTGTTATTATTATTATTGCATTTTTTACAAGAACTTATATTGCAATTTTTGCTATTATTCATTGCTTTTCTCTAACATTCCTTATTACTGGTTCCCATATTGTATTCATTTCTGTACTTGGTCGGCTCAGGAGATTTTTGTGGCCTAGCATATGTGCTGATTCCTTAAGTTTGTGTATTTTCCAGTGATGCTCTCTGTCTATTATTTCAACCTCATCCCACAGGAGGCGGTGATCTCCCTTTTCCCTCCATATATGGT